ATGTGATATTTTAGACACAAGCTCAAGAATAATCCATTTAATTGAACATCTGACCTTTCTGTTATCAAGGACTTATAACCTTTCAAAATGTAGTTATCTGAGGGGCAGATAATGTAGTTCATTCTTCAAAGAGTGGTTATCTAACTTAAACATATTAATTCAAACATAACTGCTATGGGAGTGTATTGAACCTGCAGATTCTCAGTGCATTTGGCCTCTGTGTTGTTGTCATAACTGTGTTGTTCCCTCCCCTGTTGTTCCCACTGAAAACATTATCAACTCATGTTCTATTCCCACCCTCCCTGCTCCATCACTTGGTGGTTCAGTCATTATGTTCCTCACTTTCCAACTTGTAATAAGTTCTTCTCGTGTCTCACAAACACCATTATGCCCCCCAGAGGAAAAGATGGAAATAAGAAATCAGCAGCTTGGTGCCCTAGCTTCAAGCCTATCAACCTAGTTACTCAGGAAGCTGAGATCTGAGGATTACAGTTCAAAGATGGTAAGATTCTTAATCTACATTTAACCACCAAAAAGCCAAACATGGAGTTCTGTGGAGCATTAACCTTGAGCATAAAAGCTCAAGGACAGAGCATGGGTCCGGAGTTCAAGCCCCAGAACTGCCACAAAAGAAAAAAAACAAAAGAATCGTCATTTTATTCTATCTGCGATTTTTCTGGGTTTTTTTCCTGTAATTTTGTTTTTCTCTTCTTACTTTCTTCTTTTGTTTCTCTATTTTTTGCTATTTTCTTTAGGATTCCTATCAGTCTCATTGATTTTTAATGTTTTATTATCTCTAGTACAAAGGAGTCTTTATTCAAAAAAGTAGTTTATAAATATGATGCATGTGGATCAATGTCAACCTCATTGATTTTGAAGTATACTTCTTGTCATCGAATAATCAGGTAATTCTAAAGTTTTATTTTGATAACAAATTAATGTTTCTCTCTGCATTAAGGTACTTCTAAAATGAAAAGTATATTGCAGATGTATTAGGAGAATTTCATTGACACTCCCAAGATAGTTGAAGATATAGGAATATATTTGTGTATTACTATGGTTGCATGTACTGTATTTCATCACTTCCTCTTAATCTTCCAAAAAGAGCAAGCTGCAAAAGCCAAAGAGAGGTCTCCAAACAACTACAATGTCTTTGTAATTTCTGACACAAAACCAGCAAATAAGTTATTGATGCCTCTGATATTAGGAACAAAAAAAAGAATTGATATAGTTGATAAACCTACTTTTGGTAATCTATCATGAAAGCATAAACTGAATACTTTTAATATCGATTATCTATGTCCATATATTCATTTCCTGCATTGATTTACAAAGAGAAAATGTCATGTATTCTGAAACAATATCCTTTTAAAATATGAAATAAGGCCAGAACTGGAGTGCAGTGATAGAATATGTACTTAACATGTGATAGCTTTCAGTTCAATCTCCACTACAAACCCACATGCACACATATACACAAATACATACAAATACATATATACACATATACACAAATACATACAAATATAACACATGTACACACAAATACACATTTGGTAATATCCTAACAGTAAAGCATTGTTCCTTAAGGACAATTTGTATTTAAGGTTACACTCAATTTATTGGATAGCCTGTAATATCTGTACTGTTTTCCAAAAGGGTCTAATTACATTTCTTTCTCACTATCATTACTTTATGTGTGCAATGTGAAAACATTATAGTAGAGTAAAATCCTCCTATGTCCCATTCCTAATGACTACAAATAAATTTACTGGAGAGACTTTTTTGGGGAGGTACTGATTCTGGGGTTTGAACTCAGGAACTGAGTGCCATTTTTGAGCTTTGATGCTCAAAGCCAGTGCTGTACCACTTGGGTCACAGTGCCATTTCTGGATTTTTTTATTTTATTTGCTTGGTTAATTGGAGATAATAGTCTCACAGATTTTCCTGCCTGGGATGGCTTCAAACTGTGATTCACAGATCTCAGCCTCATAAGTAGCTAGGATTACTGGCATGAGCCATCAGCATGCAGTTGGAAAGACATTTTGAGAAAATGATAAATCAGGACATTTTGATTTAGAATTTTCTGACATTAGGTTTATAAAAGACATATTTTATTTATTCATATTGGAACTGTACAATATTCTTATTTGAATTGTGTACAATGTAAAAATTTCATAGATTATGCAATATGAAATAATAAAACCAGGACAGTTGGTAATTCCATTTCCTTACATTTAAAACCAGTTTTATTGGGTATTAAGTTTTCTGTTTTTCTGATACTCTACAGCCTTAGATAATAATATGATTATTGAATTCATTCAGACTGACA